CATCCAATCTCTCTCTCTCTCTCTCCCCCTCTCTCTCTCTCACTCTCTCTCTCTCTCTCTCCCTCCCTCTGTTCCTTCCACTCTCTGTGAAATCAATGGAAAACATGTCTTTGGGTGAAGATTAACAACAACAACAAAAAAGCAATCCTATATAATAAAAGGCTAATATGCAAATCAACTGAATGGCAGAACAACCAGTCACTACGATGTGCACTGACCCCCAGGGGGCAGATGCTCAATGCAGGAGCTGCCCCCTGGTGGTCAGTGTACTCTCATAGGGGGAGTGCCACTCAGCCAGAAGCCAGGCTCATGTCTGGCAAGCTCAGTGGTGGTGGCGGGAGCCTCTCCCACCTCTGTGGCAATGCTCAGGACCCCTCCAGACATCACCCACAGAGTCCCGGACTGTGAGAGGGCGCAGGCCGGGCTGAGGGACCACCCTGCCCAGTTCAAGAATGGTGTGCACTGGGCCTCTAGTAGGAAATAACTTCTTTCTGCTATTAAATGCATGCCATGGCTATGTTATTTCATACTGTATTAGGAATTTTAAAAATATACATACTGGAAAGATTTTACTGAAGCAATGATTTTATTCTTTTACTTGTTCCTTAATTCATTCCTCAGCCTTGTCCTAAAGTACAAACTTCTAGGAAATTGTTTTCTCTTATAGCCCTATTTGTAAACATATTATGCTTTTTCTTTAAAAAAATACAGCATATTTTGAGCTTTTACATAAGTTACATGTTTGATATTTTTGTATGTTACTTTCAGACTTCTTACCAAGAACAGCTATTCATAAGAGAGAGTAGATCTAAAATTAATAGTAGCCCTAGCCGGTTTGGCTCAATGGATAGACCGTCGGCCTGCAGACTCAAGGGTTCCGGGTTCGATTCCAGTCAAGGGCATGTACCTTGGTTGCAGGCATATACCCAGTGGGGAGTGTGCAAGAGGCAGCTGATCAATTTTTCTCTCTCATCGATGTTTCTAACTCTCTATCCCTCTCCCTTCTTCTCTGTAAAAAATCAATAAAATTTATTTTAAAAAAATAAAAATAAATAAAATAAATAATATTGTTCAGGGAGCCAGACCAATTAGAGTACTCTGTTTTATTTGTTTGTTTCTGTCACCAAGATATAAAGAACAAGGTACTTTGCATACCTGGTATTTAACACTTATTATAGAGTGTCCTTTTACAGAACCTAATTCTTAAGCTTTGTAAAGCTCTTGGCGGTGTGACCCATCAAAAGACAGGAGAATTACAGTCCGTAGGCATGCTTCTGGAGTCACAACTCTCTGACCTTCATTATTTTCCCCCTTAATGTGTTCATCTGTTTATGGGAATAATTATTCTGTCTCTATTAAACTAATGACTGAGTGGACAACTAGATTGGAAAATAAATTTTTAAAATAGATTTTTAAATTTTGAATGCTCTGTGGTAAAGTTTACGAGAACAGGGTTATAATGTATATTAAAATAAACCAATTTTCTATGTTAAAGTTTGTCCTCATATTTGGTAGACAGTTTATTCATTTGAAACTGTGCTATAAAATGTTGTGATTTGTGGAATGCCAAGCACTTTGAAGCACTTTTTAATTGGGAATTTTTTTTTTTGTCTTTGGCTATGAGTCCCCTTTCAAGGAAAATCTCTACTATAATTAAATGTAGAATTCTTAACGTTGGACCCTCATTTAGCAAGGAAACAATATAGGCGATCGGTACAATTTTTTTTCAAAGCTTTTAAAATTTATATGAGAGGTCACTCCTAATGGCATTTGATGTTTTGCTCATAGTTTGCTACACCTGCATATTCCAAGAGTAAACTATTAACATGCGAATTCATTTGAAATTCCATGCTACTTAAAATTGCTAGCTGGAATGTTAGTTTTATTTTAGTGCTCCTTTCTTTCCAGGATGGAATTTACTAATGGGAGATAATAAGTCTGTTTGCTGTTTCCTTTTGTTTTAGCTGTCACTACAATATCTATTGTGAATCAATATTTAGGAGTGATTTTGCCTTTTAAGTCTCATAAACATTAACAAATGCTATTTGATTCACTTACAAATTATGTGAGAAGAGCCATGAAATTTTCCTAACCTTTTCTGTAGCTCAATAAATCACAAACAGACAAGAAAGTTAAGCACTACTTCAGTGGAAAATCAGCAGACAGATGTAGCACACATTCCCCTCAAAATAATTCAGAACCTGTTTCAATTTATCAAATGCCTACTTTATCTGTCAAAACAATGTCCTTTCTCAAATAAAGGGCATTGTTTCTGTAGCAAGAAAAAAGGTTCTGATGTATTGTTATCTGCAAATGGATGGCGGAATAATGGAACAACAGGCAGTGTTTCAAACTAAGAGATCAAAGGCCGGAATGCATTACAAATCTTGTTAAAATAAATGAGGATAAGAGCATAATTCCAATAAAGATCTTTAGAGTCTTAAACAATCTCTCTCTCTCTTTTTAAAAAGAGATCTTTAAAAAAAGAACCCAAATCTCCTAACAAACATTGAAAGGTTTCTGCTGCTTCTCTCAAAGAACTTCAGTTCTCAAAGAAACACACATCTGTGGAACTCCCATGCAAGCTGGATCTCAGTACCTTTTTGACGTGCTGATATTTTAGAATTTACCGATGCTGCTACTCTTACTATTTGTTACATTTATCCGTGCACATAATACTCAAGGCGCTAAACACTGTTTTATAACATATCCAAACACAAAACTTATATTATTATGAAGAGGCTTAACTAAATAAATGTTCTTATTTTGTAAAATTAAGCTAATAAAAGTAATCTCCCTTATTGGAAGCAATTTTTCTTCTTGAGTGATTTTAGTCCTTGAATATGTAGCATATAAAACAAAATTCATAATTACAATTTTAAATGAAACATTTCCTTCTTTAGCAGTATCAAGAAAATTCAAATATGATCATGGCAGCACTGAGCATTACAACTGTGATGTATGTATACACAATCGGTTAGTTGTTATCACTTAATCTTTGTCATTCTCAAACATTTGCTTTAACCTAAACATGTTAGATATTTATGATGATTCCTGCAGCCTAATTGATCTGGAGCTGAAATATGCCAATGTAGCCTGATGTATCTGTCTCCTATACGATTGCAGGTTGCTCTCTTTTTAAAAAAATATTCTAGCTCTTTGTTTGGGTTTTGTTTGTTTATTGATTTCAGAGAGGAAGGGAGAGAGAGAGAGAGAGAGAGAGAGAGAGAGAGAGAGAGAGAGAAACATCAACGATGAGAGAGAATCATTGATCGACTGTGTCCTGCACACCCCCTGCTAGGTATCAAAACCCACAACCGGGGCATGTGCCCTGACTAGGAATCAAACCCATGACTTTCTGGTTCACAGGTCAATGCTCAACCACTAAGCCATACCAGCCTGGCAGTTAGTTTTGTTTTTAAATGCAACCATGACCTTCGTCAGTTGCTGGAGTACCTTCTTAAATCTATTGAGCAACTTTGTCTTCAAAAGGAATTCTGTATTCAGTAATAACCTTTGGAATTGATGACTATAAAATGCATTAATTCTTGACCATATATATGAACACAATCCTATAGCTGAGTAGTCTTTTAAAACTACTGGGTAGTTATTAAAGTCGATGACCACATCAGTTATATGAGAACAATTCTTGGAAAAGAAAACAAAAATTATTTTATGTAATATAACATAGGTTTTGATACTTACTACTTGACATTAAGATTGTAAGATAGTGTGATTAAAGGTAATTTGCAATCTAAAACTTAGCTTTCTCACTTATACCAATAAATATTTGAATTAAACAATACATACTAACAGCAATTTTGAATTGCATGCCATTGACTATGCTGGCATTAGAGGCAGAAAGAATTCCAAGACTTCTTCTTGCCTTTAGGAAGGTCACAAGCACATACTAAAAGAACAGCTTAACTGTTGCAATTATTTTGTTTATAGTCTCTCTACCATCTCATACATGCTAAGGCATAGACTCATGTAAGGTGAATTTAAATTAAAACTGCAGGCTTCAAATATTTTTTAAAAAGAATTTATTATTCTGCACAAATTTTTATTCCAAAAATATGTAAATACATAAACATGCTGTATATCCAAAATTTTATTTATGTATCCACATATTCAAGAAGTGTGTATACATAGATGTGTACAGACATACACATGCATATAGTGATTCATTTATCCATCAGCCCATGCCCATCCATTTACCCATCCATCCAGTATTATTGATTAAAACTCTTTTTTTTTAATATATATGATTTAATCA